GATCGGCCCTCAACGCGCAACCGTCTCCGCCAATGAGCGAGGCGCCTCGGCGCTCGGCTCGCAATGCCTGGCGTGCCCGACGCCCCGCCCCCGCGCTGCCACCCTGGGCGGAAGCAGCTCCCGGCCGGGTCCGCACGTGGTGCTGCCGGCGGAGTTGCGGTACTAGGGACCCCAAAGGCGGCTTCTAGGAGAGCGCCGACCCGCCTACCTTCACACTGAGTGGGAGCCGGCGGCATTTGCTGCACTTCGCCCTTCTGGTTTGTAGTGCCTCTGGTTCTTGCTGTTTGCTTCATTGTGTCCTCTCGGATCCCCGCTGAGGCTCTGCGTGGGTGCTAACTCTATCCCGTAAAGCTTAGGGGAGTCAATCAGTGTTGGGGGGTCGGAGGCCTGGAGTGAATCTAGAGTGTTTTGTAGCAAGCTAACACTTGTTAGATATTTTGTAGCTGTCGTGATGACAGCTTAACTTGTAGGTGCTGAACATTTTGGTGAAGTGAGGGAACTGACAGGATTTGATTGCCCATGTTCTCAGAACTTTGGACAAAGTGAAGGATAGTATGCAAAACCTAAAGTGTTCTTCCAACGGCTGCACATTCATTACATAGTTATTTATTGAGAATACCTTCTGAAGGTAGGTCTTAAAACTTAAGGACCCATAGATTTAAAATATGCTGGCTAGATCCATCCAAATAACTTTGGTTCGGCAGACTTAGATTTATTATTTTAAATAATCATTTTATTGGGGGCCTTACAGCTCTTATTACAATTCATACATCAATTATATCAAACACATTTGTATATGTTGCCATCATCATTTCCAAAACATTTTCTTTCACTTTGAGTCCTTGGTATTAGCTCCTCTTTTCCCCTCCCAGATTTAGATTTATAAGAGTGCAATTTTTATGTGTTTTTGTGTTGTACTACTTTCTTTTTATATATGATAATTGGGTATGAAGAATTTCTTGCACAATCATATACTTTTATATAATGAAATTATTCACTTGTTATATTTACCCTTTTAAAGGTATATGAGGATCTCAAACTAAGTTTATGTCAGTTTTATAATTGGTGATGATAGGTATGCTTGCTTTTACATTTTCATTATTTTAATATATTTTACTGAGCCCTTTTGGAAGCAGTGTGTGCATGTAAATTTGTGTACATAAATGAGTTTATCTTGGGAAGTTACTGTTGCAACGGAAATAACAATATGTCTATTGGGATTAGGCTAATATTTTTCTTTTTCACAAGGAGAAAACTTCCACTACTGCTCATTTATCTGTGACCTGCTTAATGGAACTAGTACTAATGCATGATGCAGAGTATATTTTTGAAGACGTGCAGAAACTTAATTTTTAAAAAAAATCTAGAATTGTATTTGACAAATGTCTTTCCACAAGTAGTTGGAACACTGCTTTTGCCTCGGTGAATTTTTGAAAATGCATCTCTAGGGATACTCTTGAGTTCAATAACTGGAATACTTAAATCTGTGTGTGTGTGTGTGTGTACTTCATCATTTACCTGTTTTAGTTCAAATTTTCACCACAAAATTTATGGGTTCAGGTATCTTATGATTAGATGTATGCCTGACAATTTTGTTATGTGCTTTAAT